ATTTATATTTGGTCTGTCAGTGACAAACATAATGTATGTAACACTTTCAAACACACATTGCACTCTTCACATTTATTATTTATTTATTATTTTCTCCCCACTGCCCCTCCATGATTCCGGGTAAAATATGACTTTTCTGACAATTTTTACCTGAAAACTTGTAGGTCAAAAAAAGCCAAGTAACTTGACCAAATTCACAACTCTGATCTAAATTTGAATTGAGAATAATATCTCTGCCTGACTGTGGGGAGTTTTTTCTTTTAATGTAGTATGTCAAAATATATGTGGCTATGATATAATATCTGAGATTGACCAATTTGTAAAGAAAAAAAATCATGAATGTGGAGGCTATTCTGAGATCAGGAAGCCCTATCTATTCAGGGCATCTTGCTGCTTTAGTTCATGATGGAGATGGAAGACCAAGTTAGCGTGTGTCAGCAGAATGCAGGCAGCAAAACACTGAGTCCCTTCTAACAGCCCACTTTGCAGAGAACTAATGTAGGCTTGAGAGAACTATAGGAATCTATTGACAGAGCAGTGTATGGACGGGTGTGATGGGTCAGCAGATAAACTACTTTGCTGTTGGAGTCTGATGATGGAGTTCAATCCCCAGAGCCCACACTGGGCAGAGAGAACCAGCCTCTAAAAGTTGTTCCTTGACCTCCACACACAGGCTGCAGTGTGTGGCCACATGCCACAATAAGTATAACATTTTTAAATGGTAGAGATATTCATGGTCTTCCTACTGTGGGATCCCAGGTGATAGATGACCTTTCTAAAGGCCTGAAAATAAGAAATTAAACTCCAGAAAATCAGGATCTCATTGCCTTTCAATAACATCACACCGTTAATTAAATCTCTGCATGAGCCTGGATAGAGACAGAGCAGAGTGTAATTATATAGCATGTTTTCTTTTGTTTTCTTTCTCCAGAAAGGAAAATTGTGTCAAGGAAAATTATGCACAACTGTCTTTGTTCAGAATGTTACTGTAGTGCAAGAAGCCCAAGGCAGCACTGTTAAGACATTAAACAATGAAAGAAACTGAGGAACAGATAAATGAATTGTCGTATATGCTTGCAAGGATGTATACACTACTGAAAAATGGAAATTATGTCAAACAAGATTAGAATGTTGTATGCTGTGTTATAGAAAATGGCAGTGGTAGTGTTCCCTCCAATCACATCTTCAGCACTCTTCCTGGGCCCGTCTCCCTTATTTTTATTATTATTATTATAAGCAGGCAGATTGGAAGGATTTGTAAATCAAAACACAGCTGGCAAGCCTAAATTTAGGCCCATCAAGATGAGTGTCCCTCTTTACCACAGCTTCTCAAACTCCTTCCACTTGATTTTTTTTTTTACCAGATGTCTCTTGGTGTGTGTGTTTCTCGTGCCTCAGCAATTTTATTCGCATGGCCTTTTCATGCCAGTATTCTGATTTATCACACTTCTCACACTGATTTCTCTTCCCCCTCTACTTGTAAAAAGAAAATCGTTGTTTGCGCACAGATGGCGGATGCGATGCAGCATTATCAGAGCAATTCATGTTATATTCATGAGAGATCCTGAGTAGCTTGTTAGTGGGGGGATATTAAGAAAGGACACCACATGGAGAGGTCATGACTCACCTTTGAACGTCTATCTTTTAGTGTTTATCTTCTGAACATTCAATTATTGACAAGCCCTCCTGGACTTTAAATTTCAGCTGCGGATTTGACTAATTTCAGTTAGAGAGTTTGGAAACTAGAAAAAGAGCCAGAAGCCTCTCCTAGGAATCATTACTGGAGTTGGGTATTAACCCACAAAACAGGAAAAGAATAGTTCAAGGATGACACTTCATCATTGTGTCTTCTTCCATGCTTCCCTCCATCCTCAGACTTTCACTGTGTACATAGGTAGGTGCAGTAACACTGTTTTAGTTGCTAGTGCTGCTATAACAAATTATCAGCAGACTGGGCATGTCAACAACAAAAAAGTGGTGCATTGCCAGATCTGGAGGCCAATACTATAAGAGTAAGTCTTCTTTCGTGGCCTGAGGGAAGTACCTATCCCATGTACCTCACCTGGCATTATTCACAGCTATCTTTGTGTTTCTTCCTCTTTTTTCTCCACTATGTATATTTCCTCATTTTATAAAATACCTGTTACAAAAATACCAGTTATATTAAATTAGCTGTCACTTTAATGCACTTATTTTACTTACTGTCTTTGTTTGCAGGATGTTGTGTGTATGGGGATGTTGGTGGGTGAGGGTGGTGGGGTGGGTTCCCATGGAAGCCAGAGGTCTTACATTCCCCAGGAGCTAGAGTTCCAGGCAGTTGAGAGCCACCTAATGTGCCTGAACTCAAATCTACATCATCAGTGCAGGTACAAAGGTCAAATGAGCTTATTTAAACATAATTAGTTCTAGAAAGACCCTGTCAGAGGTAGAGAGAAGCTCAGTTGTTCAAGTGCAAGGATCCTCATTTGATTCCCCAAAACCTATGCATGTTTAACAAAAAAAACCAAAACAAACCAAAAAGGAAGAAGGAAGAAAGATAGAGTAAATGGAAGGAAGGAAGGAAGGGAGGAAGGAAAGAAGGAAGGAAAGAAAGAAAAAAGGAAGGAAGAAAAGGCTAGGTCTGGTTACATGCATAGAACTAGGGAGATAACGACAGGTTGATACCTAGGCCCTCATTCTCCCAGGTCCGTTGGTCTCCTTGGAGAGGTCTGAGACAAAGAGAGATCCTGACTAAAAGGAGGTAAATAGCTCTGAGGAATGATACCTGGCACCCTCTCCTCTGTTCACCATGTACTCACACTCTCAAGCACATCTGTATCCCACATGAATGCATGCATACATACATGAAAAAGCTTAATGACACAAAGACCCTCTCATCAAATGAAGTCACATTCAAGGGTACGAGGTGTTGGTCTTCAACATATGAGTTTGGAGGAACTGGATGTGTCAGGAGCATGATTGAACTAATTACAGACAGTTAAAGAACCAAGAATAACAACAGGAACAACTCCATTTAATTTGTGCCTGATTTTGCCATTCCAATACATTCATTTTGGGAATTGCTTAAATGTTCTCTCTAACAGTGAATAGACTGTTGCTTTGGAGCAAACACAGAACACAATGACTTGTAACTATGTGCCAAACTTTCTTCTTCATTATATATTCAGATCTTGGTTTTCTTAGGTTTCTGTGTGTTTTCATTGACTTGGCAGTGGAAATGGTATTAAATGTAATTCAAGTAGGGATTTGTCACAGAGATCATGTCCCCTCTGCTGGCATGTCTGGGAAGAAAAGTAAAAAAACTTTTTTTCCCCAGTGCTTAAAAGACTGTAAGTTAATGTGCATGTTTCAAAGTTGAGAGAGAAGTTAGGAAGAGAGGATAGGGTCAGGAAATGGTAGAGGTGAGTCTTTGTTAGAGAAGAACACGGCATGTTAAAGACCCATAACCCAAAATCACCAACCACAAAAGGTTAAATGGGCTAATTGCTTCTGTGTTTCTTCCCAAACACTTATTTTCCTCAGTTACTTATGTCAGTGCACATCTTTTATGTCAGCATTTTTTGGAGGGGGAGAACAAATCTAAAATGTGCAGGATAGCTGGCTTTATTGAAGTTTTAGGAATGTTTTTGAGGGATTCGTCGTAACTTAAATCCTTCCACTGAAAACATCCATGCTACTAAATTTTCAGCCTGTAATTTTCTTCCTTTGCTGGATATAGAAGCATATGTTTATGATACCACACTGTATTCAACAGAATTTTGCCTTCATAAACCAACCCAGATCCTTCCCACTCTATAAAAGGCTGCATTTTAAGCAGAGGAAATAGAACACAAAATTCCGTGGTGGGTAAATGAAGTGGTGGTGGTGAGCAGAGTGGGTAGGCACAGAGCAAACAGGAGCAGGGGGCTGCATGCAGTGTCAGGAAACTGAAAGGACATTTGCCTACCAAATCAAAACTTCTCAGTTTAGAACAGTACTATTTCAACTGGATGGTTTGTGAGAGAGATTTTTGTACATACTGGTGGGATATGTTTTTGGAAGCTCTAAATTCTGTTAATGCTTCTTAGGATTCTATTATGTAGCATTCCATATTTTATTTTAGATAATTATCCTTTTTGTTGCAGTTTTTAAAAATTTTTTTACCACGTGAATCTTGATGAGTTCAAGAAAGAAAACTACCCAAATACAGTCCAAAGTCTCTTGCCATATGGCTGATCTTAGACAATTGTCTTAACAATTGTGGTTCTTGTTGCTTCTGAACATTAGCATTTAGAACGTTGGCTCTAGCAATTTTAATATAATTTTCTGATTATAAGACAAAACATATTGATTTTACAATATTTGGAACATGTAGAAAAATGCCACATAGAAAATAAAAATAAATGAGAACAGCATCCTTGTTAGAGAAGGACAAATGTTAAGGATCCATTTCTCCCCAAATCCACCAACCACAAAAGGTTAGATGGATCTTGGTTAACTGCAACAACAGGAGACATCCCAATGTCTGAAACACCTTATGTTAACTTACTTTTTTCAGTAAGGTTGCTTAGTTCATTCCCTATATCTTTCTTTTTTTCTTCCCTTTGTTCCATTTTTCATTACCTTTATCAGACATATTAGACTTTATTTGGGCACAGGTTTTATGAAATATTTCCCAAGTACTATATTGACTGAAGAGATGGCTCAGTGTTTAAGAGTGGGTAGTGCTCTTCTAGAAGACCCTGTTTACTGTTCCCAACTACCCACACAGTGTGGCTTACAACCACCTGTCACTACAGCTCTGGGAGGATCTGATGTCCTCTAAAGGCATCTGTAGCCCCAGGGAATCACCTTTGTCTGCCTCCCTGGTCCTGGCATTGCAGATGTGCACCACAACACCTGGCTTTTATGGGACCTTGGGGCTCTGAACTCAGTTCCTCATGTTTGTGTAGCAGGCACTTTCCCGACTGAGCCTTATTGCCAGTGTCTGATGTTAACTTTATAAATGCTTTATTCCTTAGGATGCCTCACTGATGGACATGAACTCCTTCAGCCCTATGATGCCAACATCTCCTTTGTCAATGATAAACCAAATCAAGTTTGAAGATGAATCTGATTTAAAGGATCTCTTCATTACAGTTGATGCACCTGAAAGCCATGTTACTACAATTGAAACTTTTATCACTTACAGGATCATAACCAAGGTAAATGCTGAGTGACCATTTTCTTGAATGTCATTATGCTCTTTGAGCTTCTGAAAATGTGTTTTGGTCATACAGCTCAGTATTATGGAATCATATGCATTGACTTATTTTCCTCTTTTTTGTTGGTTGTTGGTTGTCTATTTCAATCTTATGCAGGTTCCCCATTTGTCAGATTAGAATCAATGATCACTCAGTAGCTTGGGTCTGCTGATTCTATGGGTTTCCCCATCAAGGTCTTGACTATTTTGTTCATATTATGGCTCCTCCCTCACTTCTGTTGTACACCAGGAGCTTGGCCCAAAGGTTAATTGTGGATTTCTGCATCTTCTTGCATCTGTTTCTGAAAGAGGGTTCTAGTTTCTCTGGGGTTGTGGATTGTGTTAAGCCAGATCTTGGAAACAACCTAGATGCCCCTCAGTTGAAGAATGGGTACAGATAATATGGTACATTTACACAATGGAGCAATAAGAAACAATGGCATCCTAAAATTTGCTGGCAAAAAGCCCGAACTAGTAAAAAACATCCTAAGTGAGGTAACCCAGACCCACAGACCCATAAAGACAACTATAGTATGTATTTACTCATAAGTGGATAGTAGACATAAAGCAAAAGATACCCAGCCTTTTTTTATTTTCAAGTTTAAATTAGAAACAAGGTTGCTTCACATGTCAATCCCAGGTCCCTCTCCCTCCCCTCCTCCCATGCCCTCCCACCAACCCCCCAATCCCCACCCCGTTCCCCAGGGAGGGTGAGGTCCTCTATGGGGAGATATCCAGAGTCTGTTATTTCATTCAGGGTAGGGACTAGGTCCTCCCCAAGAGTCCAGGTTGAGAGAGTATCCCTCATTGTGGGATGGGCACTCAAAGCCCATTTGTATGCCAAGGATAAGTACTGATCTACTACCCAAGGCCACATAGGTTGCCTAGGCCTCCTCACTGATACCCATGTTCAGGAGGTCTGGATCAGCCCCATGCTTGACTCCCAGCTATCAGTCTGTGGTTCAAGAGCTTCCCCTTGTTCAGGTCAGCTGTTTTTGTGGGTTAAACAAGCCCAGTCTTGACACCTTTGCTCATCAGTCCTCCCTCTCTGTCACTGGGTTCCTTTAGTTCAGCTCAGTGTTTAGCTGTGGGTGTCTGCCTCTGTTCCATCAGTCATTGATTGAGCATTCTGTTTCCCAGATTCTCTGGCAGTTGGATTGTAGACTGCCACTCCTCTAATCCATATCTAAAATCCATACATGAGTGAGTACATACTATGTTTGTCTTTTTGTGACTGGGTTACCTCACGCAAGATGGTTTCTTGTGCCATCCATTTGCCTGCGAATTTCAAAATTCCACTGTTTGTTTATTTTTCCAATGAATAGTACTCCATTGTGTAAATGTACCACTTCAGCCTTTTTTTAATGAAAGCTATTTTGGGTAAGATATTTCATCTTACCTGACAATCATTTGGTTCCTATGAAATGTGATATTTGAATTGACTTTATTAAGTGGTGATTTTTAGTTGTCCTTCTAAGAGTAAGAGGATTTTGGCTTTTGTCATAAAAATGATAACTATCCTGGTATGGTTGGGCATCTTTGGAAGTTCAACATTTGGAGGCTGAGTCAGGCAAAGCTCTAGTTGGAGGCCATCTTGGCTATGTAGGGAATTCAAGGACAGCCTGTGCTTCATGAGCTCCGGCAACCCCAGCTTCAGTTTCAGCGTCCCCAGGTTCAGCTTCAGGAAGGAAGGAGACCAGTGGAGACAGAAAGACCCCACCTGCACCCACTGAAAGAAGAGATGGGAAGAAGACAGAATAAGAGCTCACTCAGCAATAGAAAGACCAACATGACCCCACCAGAATCTAGAGACCCAACGCCAACAAGACCTGAAAAGCACTACATAGACGAAGCAGAGGAGACAAACCTTAAAAATTATTTTATGAAGATGATAGAGACCCTCAAAGAGGAAACAAGGAAATCCCTTAAAGAAATAGAAGAAAAAACAAACAATAAAATCCATGAGATGGGGGAAAAGGCAAACCAAAAAATTCAAGAAATAAACAAATCTCTTAAAGAATCTAAAGAGTACCAAGAAAAAACAACCAAACAATGGAATGAAACAACTCAAACAATTGAAGGATTGAAAGCTGAAATAGAAACAATAAAGAAAACACAGAATGAGGGGGTGTTGGAAATAGAAAAGCTGGGTAAACGATCAGGAACTACAGACACAAGTATCACCAATAGAATACAAGAGATAGAAGAGAGAATCTCAGGTGTTGAAGACTCCTTAGAGGATATAGAGTCGTCAACCAAAGAAAATCTCAAAACCAACAAATCCTTAACACAAAATATCCAGGAAATATGGGACACTGTGAAGAAGCCAAACCTGAGAATAGTAGGTATAGAAGAAGGCAAAGAAATACAGCTCAAAGTTACAGAAAACATATTCAACAAAATCATTATTTCAAAAGAAATACCCCAAATAAATAATAGATAGATAGATGATAGATAGATAGATAGATAGATAGATAGATAGATAGATAGAAACCTTTGGAAACAAAGAGTTGGGTTCCTGATAAAGAGAGAAAAGTATTAAGAACAGGACACATTTCCAAAGTGGCTGTCCAAGTTTGCACTCCCACCAGCAATGAAAGAGCGTTCTCCTTACTCCATAAGCTAAAAAACAAAACAAAAAAAACAGTAAAAAATAAAAAATACAGGACACATAAAGTTTTTAATTTTTTTCCTGAGGATTACAAAGTGTAATACTAAACCACAACTGTAGCTTGCATGTGAAATGCTTGTTCAATAACACAAGAGAAATGGATTCAGAGACCAAGTCTGTCATCCTTTACACAGAGAAAGCTAATGTCAGACAAAATGAAACAAAATTTAATCTGGTTCAGTAAGTACTCTTAAGAATCATTTCTAATTTCTCTTTGCAAGATCAGGATCTCTTTTTAGGAAGGCTCGCCCATCGCCACTGTGGTTCGCAAGTGTTGAGGAACATCTCTTCTAGCTGAGAGGACTCTGGCCTGTGCCTCTGTAACGTCATCATTCGGCATAGTCTCCGCACTATGGCCCACTGTGGTTCCTAGAAGTGTGTTTGTCGCATCTCTTTCCATGGCCCCTCGTTTCCTTCAGTGCAAAATGCAGCCCTCCCGCCCCCCGCCCACAGCCACATTGCAAAAGCTCTCCCTCCCATCCCTGCTCTGCTCAGGAGGAGTGGCTTCTAGGCTGTGATTATGACAGATGCCTCTTGGTCTCATGACAATGGATATGCTTTTCCATCTGCTTGATGTTTCCATCTCCTTAGACAGAAGGAGTAATATTCATTTTTCAATATATAAGCTGCCTAAGAAGGCTTCTCCAGCTGCACAGCTTTCCTCTGTTCTTTCTCACTATCACAGAGGAATCCTTAAAGAATATAAAGTAACAAGTGAAAGAAAAGCAACTAAAAATGTATCCTCAACCCTTCTAAGCCTTGCAGTTCTTCAAGCTAAAAACAGGACATTTTGGTAGATGCTAGTTCTAAATCGAACCTGGTGTTGCTCCGAGAATCGACTCAGGTGAAGTGATCAATGTAAAACACTTAGCCGTGTGCAGTAATAGGTCAGTAACTGCCTTCTACCCTGCAGTAAGTAGAAAAGTGCGTGAGTGGGGATTTGTACTCACTTCCAGGGAGTCTGAGTTTCTCAAGGAAGGTTTTAGTAATTCTAACCATGATTCTCAGGAACTAGTTACCTGATAATTTACTGTTTTGTTCAATTAATTAGTAAAGTCTTCATATTTTTGTGATATTGCAGCTGGAAGTTTCTCTCTCACCTATCAGTTCCCCTATAAGCATTCTGAGACTTAATATTAATTACAAAATGTTCAGCCTATTAGCTCAGTCTTATTATTAACTAACTCTTATAACTTCAATCAACCCATTTTATTATTCTATGTATTTCCATGGGCCGTGGCTTACTGGTGCTGCTAGGATCACCGCTATTTCTTCTTTGGTGACTAGATGGCATCTCCCAGACTCTGCCTTCTTTCTCCCTGTATCTCTGCTTGGGTTTTCCTCCTGGCTATCTTCTGCCCTGCCATAGGTCAAAGCAGCTGTACTGATCAGCCATTAATGCAACACGTGTTTGCAGCATACAGGATATCCCACATGTGCTTGTCCACACCGATAACCTCTTGCTTGGGATCTTTTAAGAAGTATCTAACTATATAAGGGTGAGTGCCGGTACTCCCATGTTCAAGACATCTGTCTCACAGGAAAAGGACTTTTACCCTTAAGACTGACATCCTGAATCCTGAACTGGCTGCTTGGATGAAGTACTTTGTCTTCTGGACATGTAGAGATTACTTTCTAAGAGAGTTAACTGTGCATGAGTAGAATATTAGGATTCACTTATTTCAAAAGCTGTTTTCTAAATCTTCTGATCTTAGAATGCCTGCTTACCCTGGATCATAGGTCATTGTTGAGCAAATCCATTTGGGGTGTGTTTCACAAAAGCCCACATACCCCAGCAGGTAGGCACTTGTTGGTACTCAATGTTAAGTTTCCAACCTCTTGTGGTCACAGATGAAAATTCAACTGCTTTGTAATATTGCTTCCATGGAAACCTGCATCCTAGTCAGAAGCATTAGTGATACTGGAAGCACACTAAGAACATGTGTTCTTTCTAAGGTGGAGATCTGTCTTCAAACCCAGTTAATCCTATAGTCTGGAAGCTTCTGTTTGTCTGTAAATGACCAACCATGACTGTATTAGATAGGATGGTGATTTTAAATCTACTGTTCAGAAATTAGCCATTATCTAAATTCAAGTGACTATATCTGTTTTCCTTAGTATATCCCATTCAGGAGTATAAGGTCCTGTAGTAAGAAGAAATGGAATATTCTGTTAAGACCTGAACACATTTTCTATTTTCTTCAATTGTTGTTACACATTAGAAAATTATTTCAAGTCAGTGATAGAGTGACGAGAACAAACTGATGAGGACAAAATTGAGTGATACTTGTCATCTATCTCCAAAGCTGGAGTTTATAACAGATTGTATTGTGTTTACTAAAGACTTGGCAGTGGCTGAGAACATAGACAGCTGAATGACATTTTCATCAACCATTGCTTGAATGCATTTATTGTTACTAATAGTTACATCGGCTTATTGTTTTAGAAGTTGTTCATGATCCTGTTTGTAGTACCTGGTGTTCAGTCAGATGAGAGTGACTCTAATTCATGATCTGTGTATGTGTATGTGTGCATGTTTGCATATACACATCCACATCCACATATCAGTCAATGTGTGTATGTTGCTAAACATATTTTTACTGGATTTAGATTTTCTGTTTTTACTGTTTCTATATCATGTGTTGTTTTGAAAAATAATTACATTTTTGAAGTGTTTTGTGAATGTTTAGATTCTTAGTCTTCTGCAGCTGAAATATACACCAAATTTTTCCAACTGCAAAGAGAACATTTACTGAGATATACTGTATTACATTGTAAACATAGACTTTTAAGGACTGTATAGTTTCATGAGTTCATTAACAATTTCTAAACAATTAAAACTGTGCCTTATGACTTAAATTATTTACTTTTATAACTGGTTCACCAGTGTGAATAGTTATCATTTTCTGTGAGAGGGTGATATGTTTGCAATATTTTATTTCATCTTTAGTCCTTCAGGAATATCTCAAGCTAAATATTACTGTATGTGTTTTGTTTGCAAAACTTTAGTTAACTGAGCCATTGGTGTAAGTGCTTATTTTCTCATGAGAGGTAAGTGTGAATTAGAGAAATACTACTTTTATTTTTGGACTGAGACCCAGGCAGTAGTTGTGAGGTTGACATTGAGCCCATGTCCTTGTCACATGAGTTGGCACAGATATTTTGTTTACTAGGAACACAGAGCTTAACGTATCTACTAAAATTTTAGGAATTTAAGCATATAGCTCAAAATAAAACTCCTTGAGAAATTATAGGAAAAATATCTTTTCACATTAAATATCCATTAATTACATTCTTTTTGAAAAAGTGGCAAAATCACTCTGTAAAATGTTAGAATTTTTACATACCAACAGCAAATTTCAGTGAAAGCAGTTCATTTGAACGAAGTCCAAGAGAACAGTCTTCTCAGTTGTATTCAGGTTATTTTCCAGATTTTAAAAATAGAACTTTCCTCAAATTCTGAATTCTAATCATGGTAAGAAAAGAATAATGTTTGAAACCTACATTCTGAGCACACTTTCTAAGCGAGAAAGCCATGCCAGAGTCATAGTAGTTAAAACAGCCAGATGGTGGTTGGAAGGCAGAGTTTTCAGCTTGGACTTCAAATTTAAGCGTAGTGTTTGCTTTCTTTCTGGAAAAACCGGAAAGTTCGCTTAATTTCATCTGCTGCATGAATAGATGACAAAAAAAATTACACGCAGGCTGACAAACACTGAATAATTAGGATTCAAGTTTTCTTAGAGACCCATTTTTTTCGTAATATCTAAAATAGAATTAAGCAACTGTCTTCTGTCCTATACTGTATGGGCTGTTCCGTTTTCTTGCTTCCTTCAGACATCTCGTGGGGAATTTGATTCCAGCGAATTTGAAGTCAGGCGACGTTATCAAGATTTCCTTTGGTTGAAGGGGAAACTGGAGGAAGCCCACCCCACGCTCATTATTCCAGTGAGTTTGTAAGGGTTTGTGGTGTTGTTTATACTATAGCCACTCTGCTTGCTTTTGCCTAAACCCTAATGCCTTTAAATAAAACAAAGTTCATTTATTTTAGGAACATGTACTTCCAAATACTTAAACTATAGTTTTGGGGGTTTTTGTAACTACTATAATATGAAGTGATGTTTCATTTTTCGATACTAACTATGTGTTTTTAAAAATGTGTTATACTCATGAATTGTATGCTGCCATGCATGTGAAGGGCTGAGAAATACTGGGGGTGGGGGAGGTAGGAATTCTCTTTCCACCACGTGGATCACCAGAGATTGAATTCAGGCCCTCAGCCTGTAAGATTCCAAGCCTGTACTCTAGGTTTTAAAAACTTATCCTTATAATAAACGTTGAAGAATTCAACTGATCTTCAGAATTCCTTGCAACCCTGTGTGTGACATGTGAGGTGTTATGTGTTTGTTTTTTCATTCAATGGATATTTATTGTGTGTGAGCATGAGCATGTATGGAGGTCAGACAACAACTTGTGGGAGTCAGTTCTTTCCTTCCATGGTGTGATCCTGGTTTCAAACTCAGGCTGCCTGGCTTGACAGGAAGTGCCCTTACAGGCTGGACCATCTCACTAGCCTGCAGATTGACTTTTTTAAATGCGTATTTTATTTTATCTTTGTATTGGTACAGAAAACAACAGCATTCCTTTGAGTGTTTGCATTTGTACTTAGCTTTGGCTGTTCCCCACTACTCCTCTCTGATCTCTGCCCACATCTCCCTTATGTCCATCTCCATCCCTCAGCTATTCCACTGTCAAGTGCATGTTTTCTCAGATAGTTGCTTGTTTTTGATGTTGGTCCCAGCCATTACCAGAAAAGTTTATCGTGAAAGGGATGGTGGAACGATTCAATGATGACTTCATAGAAACCCGCAGGAAGGCATTGCATAAGTTTCTCAACAGGATTGCTGATCATCCAACTTTAACATTTAACGAAGACTTCAAGGTTTTCCTCACCGCACAAGCCCCGGTAAATTGCTCTTTTTTGTATTCATAAGACCCCCTTAGTATCCATGTGTGCAGCAGAATGTATGCTCCCTCTTTCTCACCTTTACATATTAGGTAACGGTGCCCTTCAAGTGTGTTATTCAACTGTTTTAAAAAACACAGGAGCGACTCCTTCAGGTATAACCCTGGTACCAAATCAACATGTGAACATGATGGAAATCTGCTGTCTCTCTAACATACTCATATTCTCAGTTCTCTTAATTTTTTTCAATGACAGGGTGTTCTTTGCATATGTAATCAACTCTGGTCAAGTATGAGTATGTTGTTCTCTCTGTGTGTATATGTGCATATGGTTTGCATGTATAAGATCCTTTGTGTTATCCATTCTTGTGTGGATGTATGTATGCCAGAGTACATAATCTGAGTACAGAAGACAACCTTGGGTTTCAGTGCTCCCTGAAATAATGTATTCTTGTTGTTTGTCACTTTGTACCTCTGGCTAACTGTTCCTCACGCTCCAGGGCATTCTCCTGTCTTTGCCTCTTATCTCATGGTGGGAGTATTGTGATTAGTGAGGTATTGCTCTACAACTAGCTTTACATGGATTCTAGAGGTTCAAACTCAGGTCCTCATGATTACACAGCAAGTGCCTTACCCACCAAGTCATCTCCCTAGCTCCTACATACATCTTTATTGAAGTTATTCTGAGTAGTGTGGTCAGGGTTCTTTGACCAAGGATGAAGATCATTATTAAGTTAGTGACTAGATATATAATTGAGAGGATCTATGAACGGATGGATGGTTAGATAAAAGCAGTCTCCTTACTTTTCCTTCAGTTACCTATGGTGGAGATGTTTCTAAATCTTTTACATGTAGAAATTTTGTATGTATTATTACTTTTCTATTTTTTATGAAATAATAACTTTGTAAGAAAGATAATAGATAGGCAGTGGTTCAGTAGCAATTACAAACAAAAGTCAATTTTACATCTCTCAGATATTGCTAGAGTAGTGGAAGTCTTGACTCAGGGTCCTGTGTCTGACAGCCTTTTGTAGCTTATGTGAAATGAACTGTGGCCTGACTCTAAAACCTTAGAAGCTGTCAGGAACATTCTCCAGAGTATGAACACAAAAACACATTAAATCAAAACTGGAGTAACAGCTCAGCATCTACAGTTTGTGATGCCCACAAGGTATGTGCTTTTTGTTAAGGCTGTGGCACTCTTGGATGGATGGCGTACCTGGTCAGTGATGGTGCCTGCTATTATTTGGCCACAAATAGGTTTTCTGTAATACTCTGGGGAAGAAAGCCTTTGAGAAGACAATGTGCTATTCATGTTCATGTTTGGGTAAATGACATGTTGCTTATAAATCTATAAAATCAGATGTTCAGGTATATATATATATATCTCCTATTGTTTTGGTCTCCAATTTACTTGATCCCAAACAAACCTACTTCCACAAATGCTGTAGCACTCCTCAAAGTCATGAGTTCTGTTTTGTTGTTTGCTTAAGCACACTATTTCTCAAGGGATGATTTTCATGGGCTGCATGTCCTTTTATAGTATGTCGTTTTTATTTATTTTATGTCTGTAGCTCTCTTTCCCATGTTAACTCTGAAATAACTAGGTTCATGTCTTATTTAACAGCTTCCTCTTCAGACAGCCAGTTGGTGGAGGTGGCATCCCAGTTTACCCACTCCAGTTAGTTGAAGAGCTGTGATCAGAGAATGTCTGTTTATAAACTAAAATGCAAACTTGAAGGAGGCAGACTGTGTTCTGTGTAGCAGTGAACCTCTAATTTCAGATTGCTGTGATCCACACATACATCCTCCCATTGCTTAATTGCTTGTACATCTCGAATTCACTCTGCCTGTGCCCCTATTTTCCTTTGATAATGAGGGTAATGGTAGAACCTGTCATGCGGGTTTATTCTTAGTTTTGCTTTGAAAACTGTGCATGTAGTTACTGGACCACATCGAGCTCTTATAAATGTCAGCTATTACACTTGAAGAGTTCATCAAGTTTCCACTCTTTTCACTGTTATTGTGGGCCCTAAGAATCATCTCTGCATCATTTTTATATGGAATACATGTTCTAAAATATAGGTTTGGGACTAGAGAGAGAACTCAGTGGTTAAGAGCACTTGCTACTCTTGCAGATGATCTGAATTCAGCTCACTACTGTCTGTAACTTCAGTTTCAGGGGACTTTATACCCTCTTTCGGCCTCTAAGGACACTGCATGAACGTGGCACATATATCCATGTAGGCAAATATGCACACATGAACATAAAATAATAATAAATATAAAAACAAAAGAAATAGAGATTGGCCATCACATCATGCTCTCCATGCATCTCTTCTTGATCACCAATCCCAGTGTTGTTATTTTAAAGATTTATGCCCTGAGAAAAGACTGTGCACCTGTTTTACATGAGTGCTTGGAAATGGGCTATTATCCAGTAGATTGCAGTGTAGGAGGATGCTACCAAAAAGAAATTCAGATGCTTCATATGCATATGCTTTAAAAGATACATACGGGAGGGGGAGGCTGGAGAGATGACTCAGGGCTTGATATTTTGCTATGTGCTCTCCCAGGGGACCAGGTTCAATTCCCAGCACCCACCTGACAGCTCTCACCTGAGTGTAACTCCAATTCTAGGGCTTCTGATACCTAGGCAAAACACCAATGAACATAAAATAAAAATAAATTATTAAAAACACACGCGGAAGTGTGTTGTCGTCTCTGTCTTACACTTTTCTGCACGGTGTAATGCTGTTGATTGACTCACTACAGTTTTTTTCACTTTGGTCTCTAGGAACTATCGTCTTACAAGAAGCAAGGACCCAGCTTGCTGAGCAGGATGGGCCAGACAGTCAGAGCTGTGGCATCCTCCATGAGAGGAGTGAAGAATCGCCCAGATGAATTCATGGAAATGAATAACTTCATTGAAACATTTAGCCAGAAAATTAATTTAATAGACAAAATATCTCAGAGAATCTACAAGGAAGAAAGGGGTATGTGGGGGTTGCCGAAGACCAATCATATAAATGGTGTGGTGTGGTGACACTGTTAGAATTTTACTTATAAATCATGGTTCAAGCTCTGCCATCTATTGAAAGTTTTTCAGAAGCTGGGGAGGTGGCACAGTCTTTAAGTACTTACCTCGCTCTCAGATAAAAGGACTTGAGTTCAGTTTCCAGCAGTCACATAAAAACCTGGGCGTAGCAGCATGAGCATGGAATCCTGGTGCTGGGGAGATAGAGGCAGGCACATCTCAAAGGTTCATTATCCAGTAGGTCTGTTTGCGTCATTGAGCCTAATGTCCCACTGGAGGACCTTTCTCATGAAACAAACTGGGCAGTTCCTGAGGAACAACACCCAAGGTTGTCTTCTGACTCCCCCCCCCCACATACACTGGCACACTCATGTCAGTACCCACTCACACAGATATACATATACACCTTCACATATATACCCTGAACACACCTACACACCCATTTCCTAAGTGGTTTTTCTGTAGTCGTAGTCAGTCCCCATTTTGTTTTATGGAGCTCTGGCTGTTCTGGCTTCCATGTGCAGACTGTGACTGTAATACCAGTTGTGAACTTGAGATTTTAAATTTAGTTCTATCATGGTAGTATCAAATATTCAACATGGACCATGTCTCAAAAATCAAAGAGTAGCATTTCAGGTATTACATTCTTCGTACTCTCTAATGTTTTACTGGTGGTGGTAGGGAAAATGACATACATATAAGCTAGGGCATTCTATGTATGTCAGAAAGACTTAAATATTGGGAAATGGAGGGATTTCCTATTATCTGCCTCTTAAGTCAGGCTAATCTTTAGTTTTCAATGATTCTACTCCAATTGCATAATGGTTTTCATTTTCTAATTTTAAAATTTTAAAGAGATGGCTGAGTCAGCAAACATGTGTTCTAATATATGTGGTACTAGAGAGCAGGGGTCTCTTACAAATAGAAGTAATTGTACTGATGGTTTATTTTTATTTGTTAATTTGTCAGTTGTGTTGTCTATGTCTGTCTTTAAACTGTAAAGTCCTTTAAGATAGGCAGGGGGAAATTCTATTTTGTTTCTAGTCTAGACACTGTAGACAGCAGCCATGTGGCAGAAGGAGGGATTCATTGCTTCAAGTTGCTCTCTGGCCTCCATGTGCACTGTGTGGCACACGTGCTCCACCCCCCTAAATAAATAAATACATGTATTTAAAGGGGAAAAAGGAGACTGGAAGTGGGAAATGGCGCAGTGGCTCAAGTGCTGCTGAAGTGTGAGAAAGGCAGTGTTAATCTCCTGAAGCCATGGGGATTCCGGGTGCAAAGACCTGCATTTGTACTTCCAGAGATCAGGAGTAGAGACAGGAGGATCCCAGAGGTTCACTGCCTAGTCCGTCGAGCCAAATGTAAGGGAGCCCTAGATTCACTGTCTGAAAATAAAAGTGGAAAAACCATAGAGGAAGGCCCGAACATGAACTACTCACCTCATGGTGCAGACACATGCATGAGCACACTCATGTGCATACATACAAAGAATTAACAAGCAAAGAAATATTCAAAAAACAGTAATTATTTTTCTAAAATATGTACAGTGGGTTTAATCCTCTTTATAGTTCTCTTTTTCTTTTTTAATATATTTTTGCTCTCTTCCCTCCCTCCCTCCCCCCCTTCTGTCTCTCTCCCTCCTTCCCTCCCTCACTCTCAATCATCGCATGGATTCTCAACATGTACTCTGCCTAGCCGTCCTCATGATGCATGTCAGGCGTCACCAACACAACTGGTTTACCATTTTTTTTTTTAACTTTCAAGAAGTTAATTAGTTTAACTAGGTTCTGGGCTTGCAGTTCTCTGTGGCCAATTCTGGATGCACAGTTGGGCTGTAGGAACTTGAAGCATACTGTGGGAGCTTCTATCCCATAAGAGCCGCAAGGGCATCCACAAGCTTTGAACTTACTGTCAAGGAGGTCATTTAGTAGATTCTACTCCTTGTAAAGGAAGCCCAATCCTGACTGCCTTTGTAAAGCAGAGCTCTTACTTTCAGAGTGAACGCTTCTGGCCCATGCTTGAGACTACTCATTATTTAAGATCAGGACGGATTAGAGGAGGGGAACAACTTGATCAAACTATACCCGGCGAAAAACTTTAATTTAAAAAAGAAGAAAATATATGAAGCCCGTTTAACAGACCTGGAGGACAAGATAGCACTCAAATTAATGGAGAGTCCTTTAGAAATTTTGAAATCTAACCTGTGTAGGGCATTCGTTCATATCCACATCAGGAAACATTAGAGGATAATAAGCAGCAATCTCTCTTTTGATGGTTTTCATTCTGCACTTTAAAAAGAATGCTTGTTTTCCTTTTCCTTTCTGCTTCCCAATTTACTTGGCAGAATTCTATTGGCTGCTTGTTGTGTAGTTTCTCTGTACAATGGACTAAAGAAGTTTCAGCTGTAACCTCACAGTAAACTTGATATGTATATTTCTAGTTGGATTCCAGGGGAACTTACAAAATGTTGGCATACAGGTGTGGTTTGAATGCTGTGTAATCTTTACAAGGCTCTGCAGTAAAAATAACTGCCTAACAATAGCCACCAATGAGCACACATACTGAGAACAGAACTGTTGAATTTTTTGTTTTCTATTTTAGTGTCATTACTCTTTAACAAAGACTAACCTGAAATCAGAAAAGTGAAATTAAGAAGAATTTAGAATAAAACCCTGATGCTCATGAGATAACCCATATCTTTATTGTTTTGAAACTTCTCGAGTTCACTTGATCATAGAAAAACACGTGTAACTACAAGTAGCTTCAAGAGGCAGGATAGATTTCAGTGAATTAGACCACATGGCAAGAAGATTAAATATAGAGAATGTCATTGTGTTTATGGTGATTCTTTGAGATTATAGGAAGGACCCTGTAGTTTTGCTTATGTTAATGGGTAGTAATTACTATTGAGTGTATATAGTTAAAAGGAAAGAAAACAGATTTTACTTAGAACCTCTTGGCTCTAATATACTTATATATAATTATATGACAGGTAGAATTTTATAATAGCTATGATGGCTGTAGAATATATTTTTTTCAAGCCTGGACAGTGAGAAGGTCATACATTTTGCTTATACTTAGATGGTAGCACTTCAAAAACTGACTTATTCAATCGAGGACAGCTGGTTAGCTAATGAATGATATCATCAGCAACTTGTATAGAGTGAGACAAAGTCCTGTCATACTTCCTATAATATAGGAATTTTGAAAAACGTTTAAAAGGGCTGGAGAGATGGTTCAGCAGTTAAGAGTCCCTACTGCCGTACCAGAGGATGCTGGCTCACAACAGCCTCCAAATCTAGCCCCAAGATTCCCAGTGCCCTCTTCTGGTCCTATGGGTACCTGTACACATGTAGCATACACTTATACAACCAACCAAATGCATAAAAATAAAAATAAATCATTTTTTGTTTTAGATTATTTAGATGAAATGAAAGAATTTGGTCCCATTCATATTCTGTGGTCAGCGTCAGAGGAAGACCTAGCTGACACATTGAAAGGCATCGCCAGCTGCATTGACCAGTGCTGTAAGGCCACTGAGAAGAGGATGACTGGCCTGTCAGAGGCCTTGCTGCCTGTTGTCCATGAATACGTGCTTTACAGTGAGATGCTAATGGTAAGACCCTCTAACAAGAATCACACTGTGATTCCCTGCCTGATTCTATCTCTCTTTTCACCACTCTTTCCTGTCTTCGTGGGATGTTTCACATGTAGATGCCTAAGAGATATCTGTTCACTCCATCCATGAATTAATGGCTGGAAGACTGCATTAGGTAATGATTGGGATACTCAATAGCAACGCCAATAATTTGTATGATTGCCATCAAAGCTAAGCATCAAGATTTACTTCAGAGCAGTCTTCTACCATTTAAATGTTTTACTTTTTAAAACATTTCTTTTGTATGATCCATAGATTTATTTCCTTTAGAGTTGCACTCTTATATCATTTATGATTTTAAAATATATTTAATATGTAATATGTACATTTTATGTAGAACATGAGTGAGTAGGGTCTTGATACCCTGCTTTGCCTTTGGGCTTCTTCTGAAATGAAATCTTTCAAGTTAAAATGTTCTCTCTTACTATTTGAAAGTTTGCTGTTTGTTATATCCACATTTTACATTCTCCTTCCTCAGTTCAACTTAAGATTCCCAGATACTTGGTTTGTAATGCTGGCTGTATTGTCAGCATTTTTTGCCCCGTGTTGCCTTGTGTTCTCAGTATGTTGTACAGTAAAGTGCCTCCTTCAGATGTCTAGTGCTTTAGGGGGGACGAAGGAGGGTAACATTGAGGGAATCTAAACTTATATTCCAATATGCCCCTTCTGTTTATTGTAATTTTATTTACTTATATTTTGTTTTATTCTTTACTCTTTACTTTTGGGGGGGCAGCACCCAGCTCCCAGATAATTGCATGGAGACTTATTCTTTCTTATGAATGTCCAACCTTAGCTTGGATTATTTCTAGCCAGGTTTTCTGAAATTATGCTGTCTACCTTTTGCCTCTGGGCTTTTACCTTTCTCTGTTTCTGTATATTTTTTTCTTTCGTTCTCATTCCTTGTCTGGCTGTGTGGCTGGGTGAGTGTCTCCCAGCATCATCCTCTCCTCATTTTCTCACTCATCCCTCTATTCTTTTTCTCCTCCTATTTATTCTCTCTGCCTGGAAGCCCTGCCTATCCCTCTCTTGTCTAGCTATTGGCTGTTCATCTCTTTATTAGACCAATCAGATATTTTAAGCAGGCAAAGTTACACAGTTTCGCATAGTTAAACAAATATAACAAGAAAGAATGCAAAACATCTTTACATTATTAAGCAAATTTTCCACAGCATAAAGGAATGTAACACATCTGAAATAATATTTAATAGCAGTTTATAGTCAAAACCATGGTTGATTTCTTATGTTGTACATCCTTGATTTCTAGGAATCTTTTTTAAAAACTTGTTTCTATCTTGGTAAGAAAAGGTAGCATAGCCTTTTAAACATGAGGCATTTCTCTTGTTTATCATGTTTAGGCTTTCTTCAAGACAGTCATTAGATCTAGTGTGAACTTTTCAGACTTTTAATCTTGTATTCTGGAGAGTCTTATAATAAGTTAAGGTAGAAACTATGAAAGCTAATTCTTGTGTCTGAAAAATAATTATAGCCATTAGAAAGAATTATTATATAGCTCTTCAATGGTTGAATGATTTTATAGTCATCTATGTTATAGTCAGTATTTTTATATTACATTTTTGCTTCTGTTTTATGTTGAGATCTTCTTATCTGAGTTAAAATAATCAGTAATGATATACTGACAAAAATAATGATTAGGAGGCGTCGGCAATTTATGGGACCTTAGAGAGTAGATCAGTAATTATTTCTGGCATACAAATGGACTCTGGGAACCCATTCCACATGGAAGGATGCTCTCTCAGCCTGGACACCTAGGGGAGGACTAGGCCCTGCCTAGGATTATATGGAAGGCCTTACTCTCCCTGGGGAGCGGAAGGGAGATGGAGTGGGATGGGGTGTTGGGAGGAATGGGGGGCGAGGGGAGGAGAAGAGGGAAATGGAACTGAGAGTAATATGTGTAAAAAGTTAAATAAAATACATAAAAAATAATAAAGTTAAAAATTTGTTATCTTAAAAAGTATATATGCATATTCAAAATAAATTCACGAATGTGAAACGTACAGAAGCCGACCTTACGTATGTGGGATTTAATTACAATACAAATCATTTGGATTAAAGGAAAAGAGGATATGTTAATTATAGTTTCTGCTTTTTGATGAGATACCATGCCCACAGCAACTCTTCTAATGGAAAACATGTAATTGGGGTTGGCATACATTTTCAGAGTTTAGTCCATTATCATCATAGTGGGACTAGCAACATGCAGGCAGACATTGTGCTGGAGAAGGAGCTGTGAGTTTTACATCTTGACCAGCAGGCAGCAGGAGTCCATGTCCTACTGGCCAAACTTGACCTCAAAGCCTGCCTCTATAGTGACATACTTCCTCCAACTTGGCCACACCTACTTCACAAGGCCACACCTCCTAATAGTGCCATTCCCTATGGGCAAAACGTTGGAACTCATCAGATGGGGTACATTTCTATTCAAACCACTGCAGAGGGGACTTAACATTAAGCAAAGTGAATGTTATAATGGAATTTGTGATAATTAGTTGAATTTTCTATTGTTTTTTGTTGAGATCAGGAAAAATGTTAATCTCTTTAAAATTTTTTTCTTATATAGCATATCTGAATTATGCATAATTGGCTTCAATATATCTTCATACATGCATATGTTTTATCATACTTTATCATATCATATTCAGTTCCTCATTGCCTTCTCTTATCCCCCTTCCACTCCAGATGATAATTTTTCTTCCCACCTTCTACATTCATGCCTTGTTGATTGATTGATTGATTGAACCCATTAATTTCATTGGGTTGCTTACGAGAAAAGAACAAGGTGGGTGGTTATGGGAACACAAGCAACTTACTAGTGGTGACACCACAAATAAAACTTCTGTCCTTCCCTTAGTTAACTATTAACAGCCTATAGATCCTCATAGCCAGATGGGGCCTCATGAGCCCCTTAACTCTAGTAGTTCTTAACTGCCTATGAATTATCAGAGAAAGGCAATTCTTCTAGATGAGAAACTTGACTCATTATGTCTCTGGACACATTTTTAACCCAGTGCCTTCTAGTTCTTTTTGAAATATTTCAGAGTCATGTTAATTGACTTCCATGCACGTTACCAAGTCTAGATGCCTCTCACTGTAGACTATCTCTCATGTACTATACCTCTTCTGTCACTGGTGGAGTTGTTTTCTTACCCAGAGTCAATATTAATAATACAGTCCCTTAATTAACATTGTTAAGTCCAGGAAAAGATGACTCCTGGGACAAGTCCTCATGTCTATGATGTTGAAATCTAAATCTTATTAGAAAATTGAGTTGCCTAACAAAAGGGAGTGTGAAAGACAGGGAAAATATATTAAAGGTATAGATGGTTCCTATATTCACATTGATTCACAAGGGTGTTTAAGTTTAAAAACACTGAAACATGAAGTTATAATTATTAAAGGTGACAAGATTGCACTATCAGTTAACCGAAGAAGTCATGATTTCTTTTCAAAACTTGGCTAATGGATGAAAATTTATACATTTTGAGCTACAGTGTAACTCTTTAGATGTGAATGCATGTTCCAGCTCTCTTATTTATGCTATAATTGGTGGTTTGATTAACTGTCCTTTTCGGGTCAAATGAGATGTTCCAATGATTATAGATATTTCCAGGTTAGTGATCCAGGTCATCCCTCTGGTCTACCAATGGATGATAGAACACATGTTTCAGTTGCTCTCATTGACCTTTATTTCTTATTTGTTCTGTTCTCTGGTCTTTTGAAGACTTTACCATCAAATATTAAACATGCATGTTTTGCTTAAGTTGATAAAATGTGCATTGGGAAACCTAATAAAACATTTATAAAAATAATGTTTAAATACTTGATGACAGCTGAGATTTTAAAGAGTAAAGAAACCTACTCTATAAGAACATTATAATCCCAAATGACTGATTACATCAGAAATATATTCCCAATGATTATTTATATTCTAAAACATAAATAGTTGTTATGGACAAAGATTACTACAGCAAACCCCAACTTGATTTATCCTTTTATTTTGATGTGCAGGGTGTTATGAAAAGAAGAGATCAAATACAAACAGAACTGGATTCCAAAGTTGAAGCTTTGACCTACAGAAAAGCCGATGCTGATCTGGTATGTTTTTAAATTCATTTATAGAATCATTTAGAAGTCCCCATCTAAAAACTGAGCTAGGGACGTAGAGCTTCATTGTATTTTTGCTTTTAAGTATTCAACAAAGAAAATTCAGGGTTTTTCTAAAACTCTCTAGCTACTGTTCTGTAAGTCTTCATGCTTAGCAGCTATGTTTCTCTACCTTTGTGCCTTGCATTGATTGTGCTGTAAGGAAATACGGAACTGTGTTTTCAAAGGGCACACTGTTAGAAGTGGGTGTATAAAGTACTTAACCTCTTTTCATATCAGTACTCAGTGAAAAAATTCACACTTTGCAAGTGTCTTGGCAAATAAACTCCTTGTTAAAGTTTAATCCTTTCTGTTATAATATGGGAAATTTCACTCATGAAATTGTGTGTTATAATAAATTCATATGTTTTACCATTGTCGGAAAACCTCATCATCATTTTTTTTGAGTTTTGACCAACATTTTTTTCATACTACCCGCCTTTTTTTTTTTAAACTGGAATACTCTAAAGTTATTGAATTTCTGACATTATATCATTGTGTTCACAGAATTTTAGTATTTATATTTTGTTGCATTTGCATATTTTCAGCACAATATTACAAGAGTAGAATTCCTATTGGTACCTTTATGACTGAGTAAGACATAAAACGGGAGAGTTTGTTTTGGTCTTTGCTGTTGAAACACTGTCGTGTTGAAGTGGATGCTGTTGTCTGTCGCAGTCTGCGCGGCTTCTCAGTGAAAATATAGAAAGGGAAATTGACTCGTCCACATTAACTGATATTGGATTTTCTATGAAGAATAATTTTTAGTTTAAACAAATATTTAGCATGGCATTGAATAGGTATTGAATACACTTGGTAAAATTGGTGGTGAGGAAATCCTGGAACCCCACTATGAAGCTGTAATATTGTAGCTTCCTCGATCTGACCTGGCAGTGGGTTTTGATCCCTTCTCCTTGCTTTAACCGTTTTGTAACATAAAATTTTATTTTGCAATTCCTACAAAATCTCCTATGTTCTCCTCTGCCTCCTCCCCTGCTTTGCCTCCTCTCCAAATCTCCCTGTCCATAATGGAATCACTTTAAGGACAGTAATTGGTGGTTTGTTCACCAAGTATTTCCAGCCTACATTAGGTGGACTGTGCTAGTCACTTAATATATATTTAGTGAAAGAATAAAAATCTTGGTGACCACTCTGATCCATGTGAACTTACTAAATCTAAAAGCAATTTGTTAAAAACACTAACTCATTAAAATCTGACTGGGGAATTTACTCTTGTTTCTTGATTCTGTATATTTTCCAAACTGAAATTCTGTTGTCTGAGTGGAATGTAAGTGGAGACTGGTGGGTTGTAGTTGACTGAGCTAGAGAAAGAAACCCATAAAGAAGGGTAATGGAAAATACATAAATGGAGGAGCTTAGTGATCAAAGAAAAGGTATCACGATGAAGAGAAAAGAAAATAAACATAAAATTAACCTGTTTCCTACAGGCTTGTATTTGTGTATGTGTTGTTCTCTTTAAAGTCTACTGGAAGAAAAAAAAAACAGCCTGGACACGTATACAGAAATTTAAATTGTATCATTTGAACACTAGGATTATTTTCTATTTGTTAATTTATTTTAACAATCATTAAGACTAGTGCTTAGACAAAATATTCTGCTTGGGTAAATACTACAGACTCTGAAATTTCCAGAGAATAATAACATTATTTACAAAGGCAGAATTTGTTCAGAATGATCTTCCTTCCTACATTATGCTTTTTTGTTTAAAGTTATTTAATTAATTTATTAATTTGTGTGTGTGTGCGTGCATGCGTGTGTGTGTGTGTGTGTGTGTTTGATTACCACTGTATTTAATTCCTTCATAGTTCTTATAGAATTAGGGAAATTTTAAAATTTAAGTATTCCATTATATCCTATAACATTTGATATTAAGGTTTGAAGCAGTTGTATAAGCACTGTGAGTTTTTTAATTGCTGTATATTCATTGGCAGGTTTTACAATCTTACTTTATTACTCATCAAAACAGATCTGCTGAGTTTGATAGTCTGTAAAATGTCCCATTTACATTTTTAATAATGTGTTTACAGGTCCTTTCACTCATCACCTAGAGTGAAAACATGTGTTTTATACAAACTAAAATCCCTATGTGCCATGATGTATTGTTAGAAACCTTTAAGAATCACCCACAAGTGAATCTGCCATGATTGGTCACCGGACAACCAAAAAGATGTTGCTTAGAAATATGCAGGATGGGTGTCACCATGGAAACCTGCCCTTGTGAGGTCCTTCTAAGGAGAAGGTCTTTGTAGTCACCATGGCGACCCTGGCAGGGAACTGAATATAGCAATCTGCCTGGTTGTTTACCATGGCAACTGAGACAGGGCCACTTTGGAGACAGCCTTGGGGGCCATTTCAATGGAGACCTTCTGAGGCGGCCTCTGGAGGCTTTCTAAAACCTATTTCAGGGTGGGATGACACGTGCAAAGTCAGTAAGCAACAATAAGCAACTTGTAATGAGAAGCTAGGTAAAATGAAGCTGCTACCAAGCATTCAAAAATTAGGAGGCTAATAATGACTGTAGAAAGACAGCAGCAGAGCATCACTGCAGAGGTCATGCTGAATGTATCAGGTGACCTTTAACTGGGTTGGGTGGTACATAATACAAGGCTCTGGTCTTTTCTACTTTATTTGTAACTGTATGGGAGCTAACTAATAACAGCACTATGACCATGTTTACTACACACACACACACACACACACACACACACACACACACACACACACCACGTATGTTTTTAATATAATCTAAAACTGTATTTGACAGTGAATTTTAGAACTTACTACTCAGCTTATTGTAAAGGGGCTGCTTTTTAGAGTTTGTGGCCTGGACTTCTCATCTCAAAACAGCAACTGAATGGCTTAATAATGACCACTGCTTCCTAAAGGCAGAAGGCTAATCTCAAAGTCAAGTCAGTTGTTCACCAAAAGTTTTATTGTTTATGCTTTGGAATTAGGTAGACCTACAAACAAGTCCTACAGGACAATTTTCTGACTTTTAAAAGTCTCTCTTTATACCATTTTTCGCAGAAAATATTAGAACCTTCCTAATAGACTTGTGTAAAGATTGAGTGATATAGCACACACACACACCCATTGTTAGCTGCTATTATTTTGATGCTATGGAGAAGTGATATTTGTGTTAGGTCCTGTATAATGGCGAATACATTGTGCACTGACATGTATGGGAATACTTAATGCAAAGTGGATATTATTAAAGGTAGTATAAGTTCTCATAGGTAATTCAATGGGAGAGTGAAATAAACAAGTCTAAATAGGGTCATTCAGCATTTAACCAGTTTAACATTTTGGAGACATCAATTCCAACAGTTGGATGGAGAATAATGAGTGTGAATATGGGTAGAACATTTTGTGATGCTCTGGGCTATTGCAAAAGGTCCCCAATGAAGAAGTAGAGACTGTACATTGATGGTGAAAGAATGAGAGGCTGAGAAGAACTGATATTGTGAGGAGAAACGAAGACGTGTGGGAGCTAGTGTACTTTGCAGTTTGGTTAAGTTTTCAGTCATAGCTTCTGTTTGAAAATGCTTATTCACTTCCCCACCTAACTGTAAAATAAATAAAGTTCATCTGTGGTGCTAAATGTGGCTGCATATCCTCTTTATTTTTATTTTTATTTTGGAATGAATGATTTATAGTTTTCCACTCAATGCAGCATTCAGATATAAATGAATATGAATACATTTGACATTTAGCAATATGTGCATAGACTGAAATTTGGATCTAGATATAATGCCATAGCTGTTTAGTACTATATTTATGTGAGCAAAAAAAAATACATTTTCATAAGATCATTATAATACGAATTTGCATATAGCCGTTTTCAGTAGCTCCAAGCAGATACCAAATTAATTCAGGCTGGTGCTTGCTCTGTGTGACTTGCTATTTTTGAAACAATGTTTTACTCTCATCCTCAAATGGTGGTTATTAATTTCCAAATGTTCTTAGTAGTGTGCTAAATCTGCACAGAGAAAGATTGCCTTCTTTCTGATTCTAGGAAGTCAAGGAGATAAGAATATTAATGTAGTAAGCTGTTACCATGACAGGAGCCAGGAAAGCTACACCTTTTTCGATATTTGCTGGCTTACCTCCCTTCCCTGACCACTCAAGTGTTATTTTATCCTATGTGCCATATTCTTAATATGATGTGCACACCTTTTCCTTCTTTGTGTGTATGTGTGTGTATCTGTATAGCATACATGTATTGAATGTATTAGGTGTGTTCCCATGTGTGCAGGTATATGTATTTGGAGAGAGTAGCTTGATGATGAGTGCCCTTTTTGATTGCTCTTTATCTTATTTATTAGGCTGCTCTCTTACTGAACCTATAACTTGCCCATCTAGCTAACCAACTTGCTTTGGGTATCATCCATCTCTGTCTGGCTACTGATGGCGTTACAGGTTGGCTGCCACCCTGTCCCATGCCCCAGCATTCATGTGACTTATGTGTGCTGAACCCCCTGGTATCCTCACACTTGGATGGCAAAAACTTTATACACTGAGCCATGGCCCAGCCCAGTTTCCCTTCCTTTTGTCTGTTCTCACATTGGTGTGTGTCTCAACAGATGCATATGCAACATGTACACATGGTCACAAAGCATGAACTGTCCACTGGGAAGGAAGGAGGCTTTCTCCTTGTATACTAATTTTTGTTAATTTATCCAAACGGTATCCCACACACTTTCATTCAGGATTTGGAGTTATTGTTATAACAAGACATTATATAATCAACAATGGAGAGGGGATTTTCACTACCTTACATCAAATATTCATTAGGGTATTCAGAACTGATTTATTCTAGCTACCATATATTCTATGGTTCAGAGATATAAAAAAAACTAGGACTTGTCACAAAGTCAGAATATAATAGTATGAATTTTGGATCAAAATAAAAACTATTAATGTAACTCCTC